CGATGCAACTAAGGTTGTATCCCAAAGTGGTGGTGAATAGTTAGATGGATTGGAAGGGAGGTGACTGGTTGTCAAAGGGGTGGTGCACAGTTAGATCGATTGGAAGGGAGGCGGCCGGTTGTAGGAGGGAAGGTGGAAGGTTGCGATGGAACAATAGGTGGTGTTAAGAGTGTGCTGCAGTGGCCCTACAGATAGGGAATAAAGCAAGGATTTCAAGGTGGCATGCAGTTGGAAGAGATGTTGGTGAAGCTTGGGTAGCCTGCGTTTAGGATGGCCAGAGAAAGGAAGGTGGCCAGCGTTTTGATGACTATCTGGAGCTGGATGGAAGGGTGTCGGTTACTAGGTTGGCATGTGGAAGAAAGGGAAACCGATGGGTGGAATTAGAGAAGGACAACGAGGGTTGTTCAAGGGTCCCTGTAGCGACGAGTGGAGACGTCGTAGTGAAGGGAGAATGCGGGGGAAGGAAAGCGAAGGATAATCACTACTTCGGAATGAGATATAGTTGGAGCATCACTTGCCCTTGATACAACCTTAAGTGAGAAGATAGGAGACACCGACGACTGTCCCAATAGAAAACATATGACAACTAAAAATCTAAAATACATAAAGAAAATATATAAGCCCTAGATTATTAGGATTGGGCCCACTGTTGAAAGGAGGCGCCAAACCCATCGGAGAGAGTCAACCGACTCTTCCCCTACCTGGACCGTCCAATAGCTGAAACGTGGGAGGGGGATCTTGCCCCCCCGTGCCCACATCAATGAGCTTGCATTTTTGTTTTTCCCTTGCGCCTTATTTGCATTAAGTTTTTCCTATAAAAGATAACACTTGAAGTTCATTAACAATATTGAATCAAATACAAGTTTTGGGTTTTGTCATTTATCTGCCTATTGTGGTTCAGGTTGCATTTGTAGCTTGCAACTAGTAGAACTTCTTGGAAGCTCTATTTTTCCGCTTATTTGTCATTAGTGAAGATAATCACACATAATTGCTGCAGAGATCAAGCTCTTAAACTCATCTCTTTTTTCTCTCTATTTTTTATGTTCCTGTCTTGGTAGAAAGGGGAGTTTAATCTTTATGATCAAATCCAATGCCTTTGCTAATCACTGTTATTTCTTTTCATGCTTGTTATACTGTTTTATTGATTGCAATATTTACTTCCAGGCATCTGCGGCAACTACAGACAATAGCTGCGAATCTGTAGTGACTAGTGGTCAACACCAACAGCAGCACAATGCCAAATTGCAGCACTTCCAAAGGGATGCTAACAACCCAGCAGGGTAATTGTTGTTTATATCACATCCACCAATGCGTGTTACTGTCCATTTTTATGCCATACAAATTTCAATATAGCATTGGAATGTTCTTATGTCTTTGTTCCTTCAGTCTACTCGCCATAGCTGAGGAGACCCTGTCAGAGTTCCTCTCAAAGGCCACTGGAACTTCTGTTGAATGGGTTCAGCTTGTTGGAATGAAGGTAATTCCATAGCTGAACTTGCCATTGATGATTCTGATGGAGTCTAAGGTTGTATCTGGCATTATAATTTCATTTACTTACCATGTAATATGTAGCCTGGTCCGGATTCCATTGGAATCGTTGCTGTTTCGCACAATTGCAGTGGTGTGGCAGCACGAGCTTGCGGTCTTGTGAGCTTAGAGCCCACAAAGGTTAGTTCAACTTTAAGAATAAAATGCTGTTTATACCATGCTTTTAGTTAATCTATTTCTATAACATCTTTCATAAGTTTAGGTTGCAGAGATTCTCAAAGCTCGTCAATCTTGGTATCGCGATTGCCGGTGCCTAAATATTGCAACTGTAATCCCTGCCGGAAATGGAGGGAATATTGAGCTTATATATATGCAGGTCAGTCCATTTAATTTTGATTATTAGATTGTGTTGTTAGGGGTAAGTGTCATGACACATAATTATTCACAACAGACCTATGCACCTACAACCCTAGCAGCAGCTCGGGACTTTTGGAACCTTAGATACACCACAGGGCTTGAAGATGGGAGTCTTGTGGTAAATTAATTCTCACCATTGTCATAATTTCTTATTTATTATGTGTATTTTGTTCTTTTCTTCTTCATTCAATAATTTTTCATATGATCTTTGTAGATCTGTGAGAGGTCATTGACCTCTTCAACTGGTGGCCCTCTCGGGCCACCTGCTCCGAACTTTGTTAGGGCTGAAATGCTTCCGAGTGGGTATCTTATTAGACCATGCGATGGCGGGGGCTCAATGATTCATATTGTTGATCATGTTGATTTGGATGTATGTTCTTCTATGATTTTAATCGTTTTGTAAGGTTATATTCCATTCAAACTATTTTAATTTGATCTTTTTACAATGTAGGCGAGGAGTGTGCCTGAGGTTCTAAGGCCATTGTATGAATCGCCAAAGATTGTGGCATATAAGATGACCATTGCTGTATGTCATGAAGCACTAACTTCCTTCCATCTCAGCTTTGAAGATAATGACTTCCCTTTTCTTTTTTATTTTGTTGTAATATTTTTTATAGGCATTGCGTCATTTGAGGCAGATCGCGCATGAGATGAGTGGGGAAGTTGTTTATAGCGGCGGTCGTCAACCTGCTGTCTTACGGACTTTTAGTCAGAGGTTGAGCAGGTAAAATTGTTAGTTTGAATGATATTCATTGATTTTTTTTTTAAATTTAATTAACATGCGATTATTACAAATGGATTACAGAGGCTTTAATGATGCTATTAATGGATTCATGGATGATGGCTGGTCCTTGATGAGTAGTGATGGCGGGGATGATGTGACCATTACTATCAATTCTTCCCCAAGTAAACTTTTGGGTTCTGTTAATTCATCCCCATCTTTTGCCTTTGGTGGTGGTATTCTATGTGCAAAGGCTTCCATGTTGCTCCAGGTTTGCATTTTTGTTTCTTTTTTATATAGTTTTGTCATATGCAGTTCCAGAACTGTTGAATTTTAAATAGTGTTATGTTGTAACATCCATCTGTCTTGGAACCATATGCACTTGATTCAATATGGAAGCATGAATATTTGATGTTTGAACCAATGCATGATGACACATATCTCTTTTTACTTATTTATCCGTGGATGCATAAGGCTTTATCCGCAACGGATATCATTTAATTTAACCCTATGTTTCTATGATGAAGAAAATCACAATAACAAAAGAAAATTCGAGGAGTTTTAGTAGTTTGATTTACATCATATTTACTTCTGCAATGTATTCCTTTAACTAATTTGCAATTTTGCTTCACTTATTTAGATATGTGTGCTTTGTGCTAAAAAAAATATCTGAAATTTATGTGGTTGGCCCATTCAAATCTAACATGATAAACACAAAACTAATGACATAAGTTAAAACATCACCAATGTTTTAGGATTTATGTAGTTTTGTTGCAACAAGCTTATGTCTGTAGGAGAGGAGAGAGGATCAGGTTCACCATCGAGAAGCCATTCAAGCCTACAATTAAAATGGGGAAAAAATAGCTCTTCTCCAAATCAAGTAAACTAATCGAAAGGCAAATGAAATATCTTAGATTTTTCAAAACAAGCCAAAGAGAAAATGGCATGATAGATATATTTAACAAATTACTTAACTATCACACATCTTTTTGGAATTGAATCAAAATTTCTTGCTCGACCACCCTCTACTTTTTGCTCTTCAAGGTGTCTAAAATTCATTAACTTTTAACGCTTTTTTAATTAATATGTCTCTCGTGTTCACTCCGAAGGCTCTGCCAAAAAGTCCAGACTCCTAACTGTAATGAAGCTGGTGAAATAGAAGGATTCAGAGGCTAAAATCCATAGACTCCTAACTGTAATGAAGCTCAAGCTGTTGTCAGCGCAAAAGCCCATTTATTTGCACCCAAATTTTAAGAAATTTTTTTTAAGGCCGAAAGCATTCCGTGGAGTTATTGATAGAGATTTATGTAGTTGAGTTCAAAACTAAATGTAATTTAACTTTGACTTGCTTTTATCCTAAATTACAGATGATTTTAATAAATTTCATGCTTTTACCCCAAATAATAATTAATAATATACTATCAGCCTAATGAATCTCATAATTTTAAATTTTCAGTTATAAGTCAAATCTAATATTATGTTTTCATGCCTTCCATTGCAGAATGTTCCACCCGCCTTACTGGTTCGTTTTCTGAGGGAACACCGCTCTGAGTGGGCAGACTTTGGAGCCGATGCATATTCTACCGCAACACTGAGAGCCAGCTCCTATCCCATCCTAGGTGTGAGAGCTGGTGGAAGCTTTCATGGCGGTCAGGTTATTCTGCCTCTTGCACAAACTGTGGAAAATGAAGAGGTAATTAAGGCTCTTTCATGGGTACAATGCACCATTTTTTTCATTAAACATTAGATATTCTTACCATTTATTGAATTCCAGTTCTTGGAGGTTATAAGACTGGAAGGCCATGGTTTTAGCCAGGATGATGTAGCTAGGGACATGTATCTATTGCAGGTATATGTTTCATTGATAGTTCCATTTTTTTTTAATAAATTGATGTTGGATTTGTGGCATAATTTGATCTTACTTGTCTTCTTAATTTGTGCAGCTATGCAGTGGAGTTGATGAGAATGCTGTTGGAGCATGTTCTCAGCTTGTGTTTGCACCAATTGATGAATCTTTTGCCGATGACGCCCCTTTACTTCCCTCGGGGTTTCGCGTGACCCTGCTCGAATCTAAAACAGTTGGGTGATACTTCAACCCTAATTTTGCTATAACCTTTCATGTCTATTCACCTATGATATGAATTTTTAAAGTTTTTTTAAAGTAGTAATAACTTGTTTCCATGTAATTCTATAGTGTTCATCATTATAATCATGACCATATCCCAAGCATTTATTATTTGTGGTGCTTTATGAGTTCCTATTCTTTTTTCATCTTTGATGGCGCTACATCAGTTATGATAACTGTTCTATGCATATTACGTTATAAAATGTTAATATTGCAATATAGTTGTCAAATTTAGATTTTTTTGTATTATTTTATATGATAAAAATCATTTTTTTGGAGTTCATTGCATGTAAATGATTAAAATAGTCCCTAGAGTTCATTTATGCTTTTTCAGGTGTTTACTAATCTGAATCAATCTGGTTCTACAGTCAACTTTATCGTTTCTGTTCATAGAAATAGATGAAGTTAAGCTTTTCAGTGGCCTTAAAATTTCCAAAATGTTTTTATGAAAAGTTTCTCCATACTAATTTCCATCTGAAGAAACATTAAAGTTGATGGTAGGGATCAAAATGGTTCGGATTTAGGAGATTTGGGGCTAAATGGAGCTACTTAATAAATCGAGAGATTATTTTGATCATTTACTTGAGATTTATCATATAGCTTTTGATGAGACAAAGCTATCATCTTTTTGTTGCAGGAGGCGAATGTGGCTGCTCGAACACTCGACCTTGCATCTGCACTAGAAGTTGGTTCAGGCGGCGCAACACGTCCATCTCTTGAGGCTGCCTCAAACATGTCTAACCTGAGATCAGTCTTGACAATAGCGTTTCAGTTCACATATGAGAATCATTTCCGTGAAAATATGGCAGCAATGGCTCGACAATATGTGCGCAGCATTGTGACTTCAGTGCAGAGGGTTGCCATGGCCATCTCTCCTTCTCGTGCTGGTTCTCTCGGGGCAAAACATTTGACTGGATCCCCCGAGGGCCTCACTTTGGCACGTTGGATTTCTCGCAGCTACAAGTAAGGATTTTTATTTTATTTTATTTTATTTTATTTTTTGCATGATGAAGCATGATAAGGGAGTGTGTTTGGCTGCAATTGGTATTTAGCATTATTAGGATTTAGTAAATCCATAAATCCATTAAATCCATCATACTCCTGGATTTAGTAAAACCGCCTAATCGAAGGCAAAATTTGAGACTAAATCAAAGAATTCATAAATACATGGAGCTCCTGAATTTAGCTTTTTGGTTGGATTTAGTAAATAAATTTTATTAAAAGTTGCTACTAAACACCGCCTAAAAGTTGTTAAAATACATTCTAGGAACTGATTAGTACCTTCTTCAGGCCCAATTTTTGGATTGAATTAATCTAAATTCTGCAATTATTATGTGCGAAGTAGGGGTGTAAACGAGCCGAACACGAGTGAGCCCAAGCTCAGCTCGTGTTCGACTCGTTTATATTTGAGCTCAAAAAGTATTTTCGTTTTCGGCTTGTTTGCTTAGTGAGCCAAATACGAGCTGTTCACGAACAAATAGTCGTTTTGACAA